CCGCCTGGGAGTGCTTCAGTCCTGCACCGGACCTGTCCACGTTCAGCGTCCACTGGTCCACGTTCTGTAGCTAGCTTAGGTCCTGGATCATTAGTCTGTCCGTCCGGAGGAGCGGATCCCTTTCTCATATGGGTCTCCCTCCCTGTGGGTTTCCCTAGTTCTCCCCAAGGTTTCTCACTTTTTCCCACTGGGTTTTTTAAGAGTTTTTCCTTGTCGATGCAGGAGGGTCTTGTTGGACAGTTAGTGTCCAACAGAAAGGATTGGTGATGATCAGGACACTTTAGCATTCTACAACATGTATGGACATTTTCTTCTGTGTGTGCTTTATACTGTATTCTTCATGTGTTTTAACTGTTGATTCTCTGACCTGTGTTGGTGATTTCAATGGTTTTGTTAAGTCCTCTGAGATGACTTCTGTTGTGACCTAGGGCTATACAAGAATAAATTGTATTGTATTGTATTGTATTGTAAAAGTACAGGCTTCTGCACATTGATAGATTGATGAGTTTAACTTTAACAAAAGTTGCTTCAAAGTGTTATGAAATCTCACAACTGTATATATTAATGGACAGAGTCACGCCTATCTCCGGCGTTCTAACTAATGGGCCAAAAAATGTGCTCTATTGGAGCGATCCAAAATGGCTGCGAGTGGTCCCGTCCACAAGATAATTGTGAAAATCCACCCCCCTCAGCATTGACACACATGTGGAACGGAGCTTTGGGCCAAGAGCCAACTTTTGGTCCATCCTGTAAAGACGTTTCTGAGAGCTCTGCCAACGCTATATGTCGGCCCGGGGTGGTATTGCAGCATGTCAGCGCACGTCATTTTGGCCACTTTTGAGCTGGGACCCTCCCCCACTGGTTGCCATAAATGTTCAAATGTGATGGTTTTCATGAACACAAACAAACAAACACAGCCTAAATAAATAAACAGGAATATACAGAAATAATGATTTGAAACGAGCATTTTCACCCAAAATGTTCAAAAGACTAACTCATCAAATTAATGTAGTATCATCTTGTTAATCCCCTTGGTTTCATTACAATCCATTCATTAGAAATCCCAAATCAACCTGTTAGATTCATGTTATCAACCTGTTAGATTCATGTTATCAACCGATAGACCTGCTGAAAGCTAGGCCTGTCTTTACCTCAGTAACATGACGCATGCGCAGACCAACTGACAGAGCAACTGACAGAGCAACTGACAGACCAACTGACAGACCAACTGACAGACCAACTGACAGAGCAACTGACAGAGCAACTGACAGAGCAACTGACAGACCAACTGACAGAGCAACTGACAGAGCAACTGACAGACCAACTGACAGAGCAACTGACAGACCAACTGACAGACCAACTGACAGACCAACTGACAGACCATCTGACAGACCAACTGACAGAGCAACTGACAGACCAACTGACAGACCAACTGACAGACCAACTGACAGACCAACTGACAGACCAACTGACAGACCAACTGACAGACCATCTGACAGACCATCTGACAGAGCAACTGACAGAGCAACTGACAGAGCAACTGACAGACCAACTGACAGACCAACTGACAGAGCAACTGACAGACCATCTGACAGACCAACTGACAGACCAACTGACAGACCAACTGACAGAGCAACTGACAGAGCAACTGACAGAGCAACTGACAGAGCAACTGACAGACCAACTGACAGACCAACTGACAGAGCAACTGACAGAGCAACTGACAGACCATCTGACAGAGCAACTGACAGAGCAACTGACAGAGCAACTGACAGACCAACTGACAGACCAACTGACAGACCAACTGACAGAGCAACTGACAGAGCAACTGACAGACCAACTGACAGACCAACTGACAGAGCAACTGACAGAGCAACTGACAGAGCAACTGACAGACCATCTGACAGAGCAACTGACAGAGCAACTGACAGAGCAACTGACAGAGCAACTGACAGACCAACTGACAGACCAACTGACAGAGCAACTGACAGAGCAACTGACAGACCATCTGACAGAGCAACTGACAGAGCAACTGACAGAGCAACTGACAGACCAACTGACAGAGCAACTGACAGACCAACTGACAGAGCAACTGACAGAGCACACAACTCGTCAGAACACCGGATTTGTCTTGTGCATTTTTCACCTTTGAATTTTTTCTCGTTGAATTTTGACTGTTGAATTTAACATTATGAAATTGATTGACTGAAATTCACAGAAAAAAAATATTCAAGATGTTAAAAACATTCAAATAGATGAATTCAGGTCCATTTAAAATTCAATTTCTGATAGAACAAATAATCCGTCTTTTTTTTTTTTAATCGAAAACATTTTTGTTTGAATATTTTGAAGTTGAATATGTCATTTTGAAATTATAATCACATTGAAATTTGTAAACTGAATTTTTAGTGATTGAAATGCAAAAAATTTCAAATGGAAAAATTCAAGCTAAAAAAAAATAGCTAAAAAGAAAACACCTTCCATAGAGAGCTGCAGATGTCAAGAATATTAGATTTGGAACAGTAATTAAAGATGATATACTTGATTTGTTTTCTAAGGAGTTCATAAAAATGCTTATTACTACATACAAGTTGTTTTATAATCTGTAATTTCATTGAAAACTTGATCTCATTGATTCAGCTGTGTATGAATTCAGGCCGTATAAAGTGCTGAGTAGAAACTAGCGTGACGCCCGCTCTCCTCCAATCACAGAACGAGGCTGCGTCCTCTAGCTCAGGAGTCACCAACCTTTTTGAAACCAAGAGCTACTTCTCGGGCACTGATGAATGCGAAGGGCTACCAGTTTGTTACACACTTTGCTCAATTTACCTTTAACTCGATGTTATTATTAATAATTAATGATATTTATCTTTGTGGAAACACTGATCATCTTAATGATTTCTCACAATAAATATATATAAAACAGATACATATCAATATGCAACACTTTATTGTTACATTTTCTCTAAGTGCACATTTTTCAAGTTGAACATTTTCAAATGATCACTTCTAAGACAGTCATGTGAAATCACAATATCCCATTTTAACTAGAGCCACTAACATTTTTTAACAAATCATGAATTACTTTGCACCATGTTTGTAAAAATAATAACTCATGTAAAATACAAAAGTCAACTCTCAAATTTTAGAATAAATCATGTCACACATGATGGCAATCTCACAGGAGTTTAGAAACCAAAGCGGACCCATTTACGCTGCTTCTTTCTCCTCTTCAGAACAAAAAAATGAGTAAACCAAACTGTTTCTACTGTAGGTTTATGTGATAGTTCTAAACTCATCGTTTCAACTCATTTAACTGTGATGCTGTGAATAAAGACAGTTCTTGTTGGAAACATATTTATTATTCAATTGTATTCAGCACAGACAACAAAACAATAAGTGGTAAATATCTGAGACAAACATGAACTATGAAGTGCAGGAGGAACGGAACAGACGCGATAAGCTACGATTCAAACAAAGACAGGAACAGTGCAAAACAAACGACTGCACAGTTTATATATAAGTTAGATATATGTTAGATATATGTTAGATATGCAACAGAACTCTAGTCCACAGTCTCGGCGTATTTCAGGCTCTGCCATGAGACTAAACTGCTTTTCCTTTGGTTCCTTCGAAGCACGAAGCAGTCTGCTCCATAGTGCCTCGTCCATGCTCCTGCAGCCGCTCCATGCTTCCGTCCAAAACACACCAACCAATCACAGTGGAGCTTGTATGCGGTGGCGGCCGCGTAGTATTTGAGGGTCCATGGCAGGCTACCACGTTAGTGACCCCTGCTCTAGCTTCTACAGCGCTGCTAAACACGGTAGCATGATAGTTATAGTTATATCTCAGTTAAATGTGTTGCAGTACCAGCAGTCATGTATTTTCATATACATCAACATACTGTAAACACCTCCAATACCACCCAGATGCCCCTCCTCTCTGACCCTGAGTCTGGGTCAGTGGTCTGTTTATTCAGTGTGGCAGTGAGAGAGGCCTCCTGCGCCACTGCAGCATGTGGAGCTGGAGGAGCATAAAAGCTTTGATCCAGTTCCACCGCTGCCTCTGGAGATGAAGCTAATGCAGCAGGACACTTTCAGATGTCGCCACAAACGGCAGCTCGACCCTACAGGCTGATCAAAGATTCAGATCTGACAGAGGGGAGTCTCCTCCATACAAGAACTGTTCTAACTCTTCACATTTGTCCAGTTTTTTTCTACTGGTGCTTACGTCTCTTTACTGATTTATGTCATGGGTTGTTTCCTCTATAAGGAACAAAGGCAGTCAGTTCAATACCATTTAGGTAGCGGGATGACTGAGGTAGTAGACCCAGGACTGAGGTTGTAGACCCAGGACTGAGGCGATAGATCAAACACTGAGGCTATAGATCCAGAACTGATGCTGTAGATCCAGAACTGAGGCTGTAGTCCCAGGGCTGAGGCTTTTGACCCAGGACTGAGGCTGTAGACCCAGGGCTGAGGCTTTTGACCCAGGACTGAGGCTGTAGACCAAGGGCTGAGGCTGTTGACCCAGGACTGAGGCTGTAGATCCAGGACTGAGGCTGTAGACCCAGGGCTGAGGCTGTAGATCCAGGGCTGAGGCTGTAGATCCAGGACTGAGGCTGTAGACCCAGGGTTGAGGCTGTTGACCCAGGACTGAGGCTGTAGATCCAGGACTGAGGCTGTAGACCCAGGACTGAGGCTGTAGATCCAGGGCTGAGGCTGTAGATCCATGACTGAGGCTGTAGACCCAGGGTTGAGGCTGTTGACCCAGGACTGAGGCTGTAGACCCAGGACTGAGGCTGTAGATAGATTCCTCTTTTGTCGAGCATGGGTCCAATAATGCTGTGGTGTAAGAGGCCATTCCGACTCCAAAACACTTAGGATTTGTAATAACTCTGGCTGAAACGTCTGACCGTAGACAAATTGAGTTCAGTTGTTTTTTTAAGTGTGTTTCTGACTCACACTGTGCAGAGGAGTCTGGCCTCAGGACTCAGGGGGATGAGTGGAAGGATCGTGGGACTGGAGCCAATTGACTTGATCCGCCTGGAGCCGTGGAAGCCTGGGCCCTGCTTGCCAGGTCCTGCAAGACTGGAGGTCCTGGATGACTCGCGGGACCTGGAGGACACCCACCAGGACGTCCATAGCAGCTCCCTGAGGGGATCGGCAAACTGTGTCAGGTCTTAGTGACATGACATGAAAATAAAACACCGGGTGTGTCCGCATTCAATCATGTGTCTGAATAAAAACCATAGGTGACCATTGGTGACCATAGTGTTCCCAAACTCAAACATATTAGAGATCAAGCAGTGTATTTATCATGACTAATACACACATACACTCTCTCTCTCTCCTTCTCTCCCTCCCTACGTCTCTCTCTCTCCCTCTCACTCTCTCTCTCACACACACACACATGAAATCGTTCTTCTGTGAAATTGAGCCTCAGTCATTTCTTGAATCAATGTGAGATCGACAGAAGCTGCAGAGAAGAATGTCCCAGAAAACTAAAAAGATTAAAACTTGTTTTTCCTGAGGCCTGCTCTGATCCAAACTGACCAGCACAAAGCCTTCTACAGTCCTAATGATACGTCTCAAACTTTCTCCTTTTTAAACCAGGACCAGACTGAGGTTCAGTCACCGTCTCTGAGGTCCAGAGGGAGAAACATCTTAAGTCATTAGTGAAACTTCTGTTGTGGTTTCAGGAACAAACATAAATAAATCTAACACTATCCATGTTCATTTTAAAATAGTCATTTAGTGAAATTCCAAATACTTGCAGGATCATCACCTGGACTCAGAGGAGGACTGAAGGTGTGTACCTCAAGTCTCTGACAAAACAACAATGGGAGATCCAGGACTGAGGCTGTAGATCCAGGACTGAGGCTGTAGATTGATCCCTCTTTTGTCGAGCACGGATCCAACACAAGCTCAGCTTGCTGTGGTGTAAGAGGCCATTCCGACTCCAAAACACTTAGGATTTGTAATAACTCTGGCTGAAGTCTGACCGTAGACAAATTGAGTTCAGTTGTGTAGTTAAGTGTGTTTCTGACTCACACTGTGCAGAGGAGTCTGGCCTCAGGACTCAGGGGGATGAGGGGAAGGATTGTGGGACTGAAGCCAATTGACTTGATCCGCCTGGAGCCGTGGAAGCCTGGGCCCTGCTCGCCAGGTCCTGCAAGACTGGAGGTCCTGGATGACTCGCGGGACCTGGAGGTGACCCACCAGGACTTCCATATCAGCTCCCAGAGGCGAGCTGCTATTATAAAACACCGGGAGAATGCTCAAGAGGAAGATAGAAAGTTGTGGTTGAGACATGTGTCTGAATAAAAACCATTGGTGATCATGGTGTTCCCAAACTGAAACATATTAGAGATTAAACAGTGTATTTATAATGACAAATAATATGTGGACATGGATCTGCAGATGCATGTCTGATTGCATTTGAAAGACATTCAAATCTGAAGAGACTCGAAAAAGGGATCAAAAGTACACTTGGTTAACGTGTATCTTTCATATTAAAACACACACACACACACACACACACACACACACACACACACACTCTAAACCATGTGAGATCAACAGAAGCTGGAGAGAAGAATGTCCTAGAATACTGAAGAGATTCAAACTTATTTTTCCAGACGCCTGCTCCGATCCAAACTGACGTCTCTGAGGTGCAGGGGGAGAAATAATTGGAGTCATTAGGGAGTCATTTGTGAATCTTTTGTTGTGGTTTCAGGTACAAACATAAATATATAACACGTTTTATGTTCATTTTCAAATAGTCATTGAGGGGAAATCAAAATAATTGCAGGATCCTCAGCTGGACCCAGAGGAGGCATCAGTGAAGCTGTCTACCTCAGGTCTCCATCAGGTTTACTGCCTCCTTCGGCAAAACACTTACAATAACAATCATAAACAGTTTGCCCTGAAACACAGACATGTTCTTTGTGTTCACAGCTTTAACTGTTGGTGAAAGTATGTCTTCAAATGATTATATTGTTTCTCTTCAGCCTCGAGGATAAAACGGGAGCAGACTTTAAACAGGGAATTGTCCCTTACACTGAGAAGGTCATCAGGAGTCAGTAAACGTAACCCCTTCACTGTGGATGTACACTTCTGCAGATCACTGTTAGAAAGTGTAGATATTACTTTATTAAACCAAAACAATATATTCAGAAAAGACAGATTGTTAATAATTCATATTGTCCACCTGGAGCAATTTTGACTAAATTATGATTTTTATTCAACTTGAGTTTTACGTTTTTCTTAACATTAGAATAGGCTTGAATCAAAACTGGACCAACTGCATGGCCTCCATTTGTCCACTGTGGGTTAGACTACTGTGTACTTTAGTCCTGGTCTCAGGTCTCTGTCCTGAAGTCCTCTCACATTAGTCCTGGTCTCTAGTCTTAGTCTGGGCGGCACGGTGGCTGAGTGGATAGCACTCTCGCCTTTCAGCAAGAAGGTCCTGGGTTCGAATCCCGGCCGGACCAGGGCCTTTCTGAATGGAGTTTGCATGTTCTCCCCGTGTCTGCGTAGGTTTTCTCCGGGTACTCCGGTTTCCCCTACCACTAAAAATATGTACAATAGTTCTGGCATGCGCCTCCTGTTCGGCGACCCCGCTCCCATCTCTGTGTGGAGTGAGAGGACAAGTGCCCAAAAAATAACAATTGTAAACCGCTTTGTGACTCTGGTCTGTGAAAGGCGGTATATAAATAAAGCTTACTACTACTCAGGTCTCTGTCCTGAAGTCCTCTCACATTAGTCCTGGTCTCAGGTCTCTGTCCTGAAGTCCTCTCACATTAGTCCTGGTCTCAGGCAAATAAATCAGTCCTTTACCAATGGGGAATAGTCAATTAGTGGAATTAATAAGAACTTTACTGGGAGGGAAAAGTTTTGTCCTTTAAGTCTATAACTGGTTTGGACCAATGTCATCTCAGTTCAGAAATGTGGAAACAAATAACAGCAAAGTCTGACTTTTTTCAGGATCAACGCTTTGTACATTTTCATGCTGGTTTCAAAATCCTATGCCACCCTTTAATGAAACACACACTGACAAACAGGTAGAGCTTTCAGCACCAGAGACAGGTTCTACACAGCAACTGAACAAACTATTATAACAGCATAAATCTGTAAAGCTGCCTCCCCATGTTTAGTCCTGACTCTGGGACCAGCAGGAGCCCAGTCCCTGTGCTTGTATATGCCATTTATGCTGTTTTCATCTTGAATTAATTCTCCTAGACAAAATACTGTGAAAAGCAGATTGCAAGAAGCTTAACACTTCTAGACAGCCGGGCGCTGATCCAACATGGCAACCCACACGGCCAATGCATCACGAGCCGAAAGCCAGACCTGGAAACTCATGGACAGATCTTTGGACTGGAGCCACTGCAATGCACCATGGGGGATTAACACTGGAACGCGACACTTCCAATTAGCTTTAGCATCTGCAGTGAAACAGAAGCCGTCTAAAAGATGGTCGTGCTTCCATCTGTGTAGTAAAACTGGTAACAGGAAGTCTGCGTCTGGGAGTTTAACATCAAGCTTTGATGAAGGAATTTACAGTAATCGAGCGAGAACCAATCACGCGACTTCAATAACCTGATGAAACATTTTATAAACGCATTTACGATTTAGCTGCGAACTCCATCTGTCGCCTCCTGAGGATCTGCTCATTTAACTCATTTGGATGGAATTTATGTTTCTAGATATCTTCAATTTATTTCAAGGAACTAAACCTCAGCCCCAGTGAGAGATAAGAGTTCCACGTCTATGCAAACTCTGCTCTTCTCCAATTATAGACCAATCAGAAGTCCTCAGAGACAGCCGCTCTGTCACACATTCTGGCCGGGTTTCTTCCTGACGAGAATAACATAAAAAGGGTTGTCATGTGGTGTGTGGGAATGAAAGCCCTGAGCAGTTTTGAAGACAATCTTTGGACCAAAACAAATCCAGGTCAGATGTGTAAGTTTCCTCCAGGTGCTGACTGTTTTTTTTTTTTCACTTTTACGAGGCAGATGTATTTTCTTTTGTGTTGAGCTGTCCTCCCTTTGTTTCTCCTTCTTCTAAATAACAGCAGAAGTGAAAAGAGGATTGTCTAAAATAGCGGCTCAGTGGAACTGGAGTAGCTTCTGTTTCATGTTTGGGATGAAGACTGTCCTCATTTCTTGCTGTGGTGTTCGTTCCGACAATTGGAAAGCAGGGTTTGGATGAAGAGAGGGCAGGCCGAGGCACGTTTCAACTCACACCAGGAAGAAGAACAGAGAACAAACTTTGATGAGAAACTTGGGAACAGAGACACACACGACCGGCCAATGGGAACTGTTTGTAGCTGGAGAAACTAACTTTAAAATCACAAAGTGAACTCTGTGTGTCTGCTGTTGTATAGTGTTGTTTAGTATCCATATGCATCTACAGTATGAAAACCAGAGGGACACCAGAAAGAGACCAGAGAGAGACCAGAGAGAGACCAGAGAGAGACCAGAGAGAGACCAGAGAGAGACCAGAGAGAGACCAGAGAGAGACCAGAGAGAGACCAGAGAGAGATCAGAGAGAGACCAGAGAGAGAGACCAGAGAGAGACCAGAGAGAGACCAGAGAGAGATCAGAGAGAGACCAGAGAGAGAGAGACCAGAGAGAGACCAGAGAGAGACCAGAGAGAGACCAGAGAGAGACCAGAGAGAGACCAGAGAGAGACCACTGAGAGACCAGAGAGAGACCAGAGAGAGACCACTGAGAGACCACTGAGAGACCAGAGAGAGACCAGAGAGAGACCAGAGAGAGACCAGAGAGAGACCAGAGAGAGACCAGAGAGAGAGACCAGAGAGAGAGACCAGAGAGAGAGACCAGAGAGAGACCAGAGAGAGAGACCAGAGAGAGACCAGAGAGAGACCAGAGAGAGACCAGAGAGAGACCAGAGAGAGAGACCAGAGAGAGAGACCAGAGAGAGAGACCAGAGAGAGACCAGAGAGAGAGACCAGAGAGAGAGACCAGAGAGAGACCAGAGAGAGACCAGAGAGAGACCAGAGAGAGAGACCAGAGAGAGAGACCAGAGAGAGAGACCAGAGAGAGAGACCAGAGAGAGACCAGAGAGAGACCAGAGAGAGAGACCAGAGAGAGACCAGAGAGAGACCAGAGAGAGACCAGAGAGAGACCACTGAGAGACCACTGAGAGACCAGAGAGAGACCAGAGAGAGACCACTGAGAGACCAGAGAGAGACCAGAGAGAGACCAGAGAGAGACCACTGAGAGACCACTGAGAGACCAGAGAGAGACCAGAGAGAGACCAGAGAGAGACCAGAGAGGGACCAGAGAGGGACTAGAGAGAGACCAGAAATAGACCAGAGAAAGGCCAGAAATAGAGAAATGCAGCCCGCGGAAATTCAATTTGGTAGACGTCAGCCAAAGTTACCCCCTCCAGGCCGGTTCTCATCCCCAGCCTATCGCACAGCAAACGCCCCCTTCCAATCACCGTACCGGCCAGGCAGCCGCTTAAAAGCGGAGAAACTCCCACTCTCTGCCTTCTCGAAGCCTGCAACCACCGCCTCCCCTCCTCCTCCTCTTCACCCTGCATTCAATCTGCCTTCAATCTGCTTCCCGCTGCCAAATGCCGCCACCAGTGCCTAGGTCCCGGGGGATTGGCGCGCTCCATCGCAGAGCCTCTCCGATCTGAAGGCCGCACCGGGGCCTAGGGCGCCAAACCTCCTCCCAATAAAATACTCAAAAGCTTCTTGTTTTCTCGTCTCTCCAAATTGAAATCTCAGTTGTTGAGATTGAGATGTCACAGTGCTGTGTACAGTATACAGAACTGAAAAAGAGAAATAAACCAATAGCAACGATTTGCAGGTGTGTATCTCTACAGAACGACTAGAACATTTTGGAGGCGGTCACTAACTGGTCACTAACTGGTCACTAACTGGTCACTACCTGGTCACTAACTGGTCACCAACTGGTCACTAATGCAAGAAAATAGTCTGAGCAGGAACCATGATCCATTTTCTATCAACGCAAGATTACCGAGTTTTACATTTGTTTTTTGTGTTAATGCATTCTACTGTGATGTACAGTATACTGTAGTACTGTGATGTACTGTATACTGTAGTACTGTGATGTACTGTATACTGTAGTACTGTGATGTACTGTATACTGTAGTACTGTGATGTACTGTATACTGTAGTATTGTGATGTACTGTATACTGTAGTACTGTGATGTACTGTATACTGTAGTACTGTGATGTACAGTATACTGTAGTACCGTGATGTACAGTATACTGCAGTACTGTGGTGTACTGTATACTGAAGTACTGTGATGTACAGTATTGAGTT